AAGCTTACTTATTATTGCTGTAATTTACTAGTTTAAATGTGACAAGTAGATACCCTATGACCCAGCAATTCCACTTTTAGGAATCTACACAGCCATTAAAAAGAACGAGGAATACAGATGGGCTGCTGTGGAAAGTTATCTAAGGCAGATAATCAGGGGAAAAAATTAACTGCAGACAAATCTGTTCTCAGGGTCTGAAAAGAGAGTCCATGTGTCAATATCTCAACAGAGATGTATCTGTTGAAGCACAAAGGGAGGCTGGGAGGACCGTTAACAATGGTCACCTGGTGGGGAGCGACAACTTGGCAGCCGAGTAGGAGGGGCAGATATTGTTTATTCAAAAGCTGGCTGCATATGGATGAGTTATCTTTTATGGGTTTTTTTCCCCAGTATTTTTTAATAAAAGACCCAAATCACAAAAATGTGGAAAATATTACTTGAGAAAAAGCTTAATTCTTTACATAATTCATTTTGTATATTCTTTTTTTTTAGCAAATGAGCATATTTAATAAATTGTGACCATTTGCTAGCTGGCATAAATTATATAATTTATAGAAAAATATATAAATGAATATTGAGAAAAATTTTAAGTACTTAGCAGAAAGAGAATGAGATTAGTAAAATGGTGGCCATTCATATTTAACTTACAAATTCCACATCTGAACTGGAATCCAATATTCAAATCCCCCATTGACATTTAAACATTAGATTATTTTTTTTAATTTGAAAGTAAAAATACATTTCAAATCTGTGCTGTCTTGTTAGTAGAAGGACAAAGATTTTTGTCATAGATGGGCTAATTCTAAAATCAGTGTTTCAAAAAATAAGAAAATAAGAGAACTCTGAAAGTTTTACAACTCTTTCGAAGCTCTTTAAGGTCTGTGTAAATGCCCTGCTAAAGGGATTTAGAAATTAATTGAACAATGTCTTTTGGGAATTATACTGCAGTTATTACAGCAAGACAAACATATCTAGAAACTGGAACTTCAAGTTCATAACCCTAAACAGAAACCGAGTCTCTGGTATTTTCTAGACTGTGTCATATGCTAACCTATTTACCAATCACTTGTCATCTTCTCTTATTAATTATAAAAAAGATGAGTTAAAAGTCTCTGAGCACCTTTGCTGAAAATGGCCCACATGGCCTTGGAAACACAAGTGTGGTTGTAGAACAAATGTTAACAGGGGGTGGGGGGTGAATTAGGAGTTTGGGATTAGCAGATACAAACTACTATATATAAAACAGATAAGCAACAAGGACCTACTGTATAGCACAGGGAACTACATTCAATACCTTGTAGTAGCCTATAATGGAAGAGTATATAAGTGTATGAAAAAGAATACATATGTATAACAAAATCACTATGCTGTGTATGAAAAACCAACACAACATTGCAAATTAACTACATTTCAATTTAAAAAATGTTAATGTGAAAATGGTTTTCTTCCTGAAGGTTCAAGTGTTTTAGATGGAACAGGTCTTACATAGCATAGGGACTGGGATGCCAGTGATGCTCTATGGTAGGCATAAAAAATTTTGCTCAGTGAACTACTTCAAACATGGAGAAAGTATATTTTTGGAGATTGTAATTTTGATTGACTCCCCATTTTCATTGTATGTAATGACACTGCAGCTGATTCAAATACACAGCATTCTGAAAAAAGTATTTTTTCAAACTATTAATAAACGAGTTATCTTCTCCAGGTCATTTAGACTTACAGCAGAAAGAGAAGAGAAAAGTTACAATGGGGTTAAATAAATAATCCAGTTACAGGATTTGTTTTTAAAAAATCTACCCAAGCTTTAATATAGTCGTTTGATCTACTGTGCTGCTGTTTGGAAAACATTTATTTATTTCTCATTTGTGTTTCCAGTTCCATTTTAAGTTTATAGTACTTTCATGGAACATCCATGGGTAGATAAACTGTAGTTATGGATTTCATTCAAGACATGGGATTTTAGCAGTTCATTTTTTTAAAAGATTGTGAAAGGAGCCTACACTGTAACAGGTCTTTTACACTGTGGGATTTAAGCCTCAGTTCCATGTCATAAGATGTCAAGAAGAGAGGGTCAGTTCAGTTCACCATTCTCTCCTAGAACTGCAGCAGGATCATTTTGCCATTCCTTCTCAAGACCTAAAAATAAAATGGTACACTGTTGAGTTTAAAGTGTTGTGTCTTACTATATTGGTAAACTGTACTTCTTGAAAACTGACCTATTGCTCGCAAGGAGAGCAATCACAGGAGCCAGCAGGTGGACCCTGAATGACCACACCCACGTCGTTTGAAAATATTATTTGTATAATTTAAAAACTGGCCCAGAAAGAAAGTCTGGGCAAGGGCAGGACTAGTAAGATCCCGTTTAACTCTAGCCCCACTGACATTAGTCACTAATGCAGTGAAGGCACTGTGTACTCTGACCTTCCCTATGATTTTTATCAGGCCTTTGTCAGCTCAGAGACATTTGAAGAAATGTCAAATCATAGAAATCAAAGTAGCTAAGTTACAGAACATCTATTTATTTATTTAGCTTTTTATAGTTGAATGTTAAATGTATTTATTAGTTTTTTTGGGGGGGGGAAGGAGGTAATTAGGTTTAGTTACTTATTTTTAGAGGAAGTACTGGGGAATGAATCCAGGACCTTGTGTATACTAAGCATGCACTCTACCACTTGAGTTATACCCTCCCCCTTATTTATTTAATTTTTAAGTAGATTTTTTTTATTGTGGTAAAATACACATAATTACCATCTTCACCATTTTTAAGTGTACAGTTCAGTGGTATTAAACACATTCCCATTGTTGTCCAACAATTACCACCAACCAGTCCCATAACTCTTTTCATCTTATAAAACTGAAACTCTATACCCATTAAACAATAATGCCGTTTCCCCTTCCCTGGCAACTGCCATTATACTGTCTGCCTTTATGATTTTAACTACTCTGAGTACCTCATACAAGTGGAATCATACAGTGTTTGTCTTTTTGTGAATGGATTATTTCACTTAGCATAATGTCATCAAGGTTCATCCATGTTATAGCATGCTGTAGAATTTCCTTCCTATTTAAGGCTGAGTAGTATTTCATTGTATACATACACTACATTTTACTTACCCATTCATCTATCCATGGATACTTGGGGTGCTTCCATGCCTGGGCTATTGCGAATACAGCTGCTATGAATACAGGTGTACAAACGTCTCTTCGAGACTTCGCTTTCAATTCTTTTGGGCATATATCCAGGCACCTATTTATTTTTTGCACTTGCTCCAAATAGCCTGAGTAGTTTTAATAGCCACACTGCTAAACAGACTGCCCATTTGAGATGGGGACATTCATTCACTGAAAAATATTTGAGAACCTTCTTTGTGTCAGGCATAGGGTAGATTCTGGGGATACAATAATAGCAAAAGTAACCTGGAAATATATGATGACAGAGCATTTTCTTTAATTTGGAAAAAACCTGCCAAATAGAATATACTGATCAACAGCCATCTCTATGATAAAAGATGAAGATAATTAGAGAATTTACAAGGAGTTCTTTCTTACTTCCATTTTTATTCTTGTTCTGCTATAAAGACTCAGATATTTTCTTACCAAGATGACTTGTTTTTCCATTATTCCAAAAAGGAGCTCGAAAGAGTAAGTAGGGCTTACATTTAAAGGATGGCATTTCAACATTTTCTAAATAATTCAAGGACTGTATCAACTGAGTGAAGGCCAAGAGCTGGTTTAAAACCTCTTCCATCATACTCAAAAGGAATTTTGGGGTAGGGAAAGAGGAGAAGAAAGGAGTAACGTGTAAGTATTCCAAGTCAATTCATTTATAGTTTAGTGACCAAAAATGTCCTATGTCTTGTTTCATTTCTAGCTTTTGTTACTATCTTAGTTGCTCACTTGAAGATTTTCACTTGATACTCAAACCAAAGGAACATTTGGGGAGGGATTTAACCACAGGCAAGTGAACTGTATCTTTTTGTTCCAAAACAATGCTTTCTGTAACAATGCAAAGTGGAAAAACAAAGAGGATCAGGGAACACTCAGTGGTCCCCATGGCTATGAAAGGCCTTACTGGCAGATGCAATTCTTTCTTAGCACTGAAATTCTCCTTTCAGCTACTATTGTCTGTCTTGCTCATGTCATCTTGGCTGACAAGTGGTGGTGACCCAAGACTGCTGGCAGTGGCCAAATGAAGGTTTGGCTTACTCAACTGATTCTCCACTAAAAGGAAGAAATGGTCAGAGGAAGCCACAGGGTGACCAGCAAACTAAAAATTTGCCTGAATTTTTAAATAAGGTAGAGAGGGCAGGGCCACTTGGGTCTTTTACAAGAAGGGAATGGAAGTGTAACCATGGGTTGGAAGTGCGACAGTTCCCCAGCCTCCCAGAGCAGCAATAAGGAAGATGGAAGTGATGGCTGTGCATCCTTGTGGCTCCAGAAGCTTTCTTATTCTCCAAGTGTTCTTTCAGTTGTGAAGTCATCATGAAGCCTTCCTTAATTTTTTAACTTACAGTAATTTCTCTCTTCTTTGCAATCATGTCCTCTTCTCTGCCACTAAGTTTCTCATGTCATATATATGTCTGGTCTTCATAACTAAGCCTATTGAGGGCAGGATCCCTTCTGGATTCACCCATATATACCCAAATGCCCTTACTGTGCCCAGAACAAACTTGGCAGTCAAAAAAAGTTAATGAGTAAGTGGGTAAATCTGACTGAAGAATACCTGAGTTCCCCAAGTAAGCAGGGAACAGGCCACTAACTGCAGAGCAATCAAGGTTTCTTGTGGTCTTGGCAGGGAAGGAAATCAGGGAAAGCTGAGGACAAAGCTGGGATGAGGTCTACTGGCCATGGCAGTTCAAGCACATACATAAGGAGCATGCTGAGGTTGGGGTGGAGCTTTTCAGATCATTACCCGTGCAACTGTTTGTTCCATATTTCATTAAGATGGCTACCATGTCAATATGTTACCTTGGCACAAACAGTACACTTTTTCTATCAAGGGCTTTCTTTTGTGCTATTTTACTAAAAAATCAAAGACAGCAGGTCTGCTATTAGTATCCTCATTTCGCACACTAGGATGCTGAAGCGAGGAGGATGAATGACTCAAAATGTTCTTTCTCATATTCTTAGGTATCTGCCTCTTCATAATTAGGAAGTACCAGGAAAAAAAGTTTTTATTCCATTTTCCCTGAGAATGTGCTCAGTTCAGAAATGAAAACTTGTACTATTAGTACTCATCATTTTGTATGAAGTCAGTGTTTCAAAAAACACTTTGAGGTCTCATGGAAGTCCAAATTGTTGCCATTAATCAAGTGACATGAAAAGGATTGTTCTGTTTTATAGACTCATTATATTAGGATATTAAAGAAAGCTTGGATGCATCACCTAGCTTGACTTTGGTGATATGTTTGATAGTGGTCTATGAAGTCTTTCTCATTAAATTTGATTTGGCTTGTGCGGTAATACTGTAGTCTTCAACAGGAATGCAGGTAAACAAAGTTAATAATACATTAAAATGAATCATATTGGAAATCAGGAAGGAGGGGAATAGTCACTGAGTTCCTGCAGGGACTAAAGTTTAATTAATTCAAAAAAATTATTCTCTATCTTGATGAAAAATTTAGCTTTAAAATACAAATCTATTGCAGTTCAAGCTTCTGCATTTGGGCCACTTGTCACAGAGGAACATGGGTGTTAAATATAATTAAAGTGGATGACAGTATTTTCACTATTTTATAAATGAGGAACATCAGGCATACTGAGAAAAAAATGCCTGGTCCAGGTTCTTTGGAGAATCACTAGTGGCCCAAATGACAACCCATATTCTTGCCTAGACCACTGATACACACTTCCCCAAAGGGGAACAGCCCTTTCACTATTTACAAGTTACATAATGAATGAAACACAAAATTATTCAGTAACTATAATCCCTTTTTAAAGTTACTACAAATTTGTATATGTTAAAAACCACACAAACCTGAGTCCATACTGGGCACTTTTACTTATAGCTAAGGGAAAAAAAAAAACAAATCACTAGCATATATTAGAATATGAAAACATGTTTGTATGAAAACAAGTATTTTGTCATCAGTCTATTTTCCATGCCTTTTGCAACTGGTTTTTAATTCTTTGTATTTTTCATTTTTAACAGGGATTACAACTTTAGTCATTTCAGAAATTTCAAAAGATGGCATCAAAATCTCCTATATATTGGTAATACTAGCTTAAGAACTTTTCATGCTTATCTTGTGTTCTGAGCTGCATGTAGTCTTCACAGATACAAATTAGAGCAGAACAAAATAGAAAAGGGTAACTGTTGAAAACTAGTTTTGTAAGGCAAGGCCTAAATGTCCTTATCTCTGGCATGTTCAGTAATGGAATGCATAGTTGATTTTCATTCAGCTACCAGTGAAAGGTATTCCACAATGACAGATAGCCTTATCAAAATTACCATTAGCTGGCTTCCTCTATAGGGAACAGCAGTTGGTTAAGTAAGACTGAAGTGAGAGCTCTTACAAGTTTTCTCAGAAACAATTCCCCACCATGATATGTGGCCAACTGGTTAGGTCTTGTGTGAACACATAATTTTTAAAAGAATGAGCTGGGACCTGCTAACATGATTCAAAGGAGCATCTAGTAAAAGCTGATGTCTAAGCAATAAAGCAACAATTCGTTTAATTTTCAAGAAATTTTTTCATTAAATTTGTTATTCCTCTAAGATTAACATGGCTCATTCTGCTTAAGATTGTTTATAGTGCTTTTAATTGTGCCTAAAATTTTACAATAAGGTGAAATAAAAGATTCAAAAATGGTTTTATAATATATAGAAGATGACCACTCATATTTATTTTGATTTTTTTATATATATGATTAATCAAAATTGTGCCTTTAAATGGCAACGTGATATTTATTGTATTCAGAAACATTATTGTGTGCCTTTTATTTTAACACTGCTGTTCTTAGGATTAGCTTCTTTAACAGTATGACATTTTCATGCATTCTTAAACTTTACATTAGTTTTACTATTCAGTGTTTGATTAAGTTCAAATCAACAAATATTCAAGCCTACGTGAGAAAAGAATGAAATGAGATTACCTTTATATATAATCATCTAAGTTATTTTTAAGAGTAAAAAGTTAATACTGGGATTTAAAAACCTAAATTTCCAATGTTACTGTTAATTCAACCATATGTATGTTAATTAGGCCACAGGACTGCCCATTAGCCTTTCTTGTCGGAGAGCAATTAATCTCTTGAACCACTTTTCCTCAGCATCAGCTTTCTCAATAAATAACTGAAATAAAAAAAAAGAAGAAGAAAAAACGTTATTGTTTGCCAACAACTTGGATTTGACCCTACATAATAAGATAAGTCACCTGTACAGAACACTTCCTTCAGCACAAGATTTGGATAGTGTTTAACTCTTGCTGACCTGTTAACAGAAGATCATCTATTTGGAATAAAGCTCAGAAAAGTCCTAGAGTAAAATGACTAATATCATCATCAATGGTTAGCAGTTTTACATCTCATTTTGAGAAGTTCATTTCCTACAATCTTTGTGGGAGACATAGTGGCATGACACCATTTCACAGAAGACAGCCGAGTATGATAATGATGTATGCACAGTCAGTGAGCCAACTGGAGCACAGCCAGAATTAGATCTTTCAGTGTCAGATTAAAAACAAAACTCTTCGATTTGCTTATTTTTCTTACTCACTGAATCTTCTAGAAGTCAGGTAACATGAGTTGGACCAAACCAGATTCAAATACATGTAATAATTCTGAGGGCTGGAGGTGAGCTGCCTATTTTTAGCAAATAAGAACATATGAATCCATTTCCTCCAGGGGTCTTCTTGTCACCAGCACAAAAGGACAACAGCTTGAATTAACTTCAGTCGACTAAACTTAAACTGATATTCTTAAGGTTTAAGGGTCTTACATTCGGATGGGCCAGAGAATTGTCATCTTGGTACTTGATGGCAGTAGGGATGCTGCTAGGGTCTATTTCTTTTTCATTACTTGGTGGATCAGCAACTACTGACGTTGGTCCTGATGTTGCAGCTGCATGCTTCACTTCACTAGGTTCCACTGACTAAACATAAAACACACATTGTTAGCTGGATCACAAGATACAATTAAAATTTTGCTTTGATAATATTTCTGCTTTTGAGTAATAATTGCTCAACTGCCCTTCTTTGAGATAATACCAATCACAAAAAGGTCCTAAGTTACTGAATAAGAAACAGTTATTCCTAACACAAGCAAACAAATACAAAACCACTGTGAAAATGTTATTTCTTACAATCAGTATATTTTTAAGAAATTGGTACTTATGAGTCTATACTACTGAAAACATATACATGTTTCATATATCTAAATTCTATTAATCAAAAGAAGCTTGCAACAAATCTCTACTTAGTTGGTCTCTTTAGGTATAAAAGACAAATTCAAAGGTTATTATTATAATTTTTTAATAAGTCTTACTGAGATACAACTCCATATCACAATTCATATAGCTTTTACCATATCAACAGAGTTTTGCAAATAACACCACAAGCAACTTTGGAAGATTTTCGGCATCCTCCTAAAAAACCTCATACCCATTAGCAGTCACTGCTCCCCATTTCTGCCTAACCTTCCCATCTCTAGGTAACCACTAATCTACTTTCTGTCTTTATGGATTTGCCTATTCTGGGTATTTCATAGAAAAGGAATCACATATGTGTTTTTTTTTTTGTGACTAGCTTCTTTCATTCAGCATAGTGTTTTCAAGGTTCATCCATGTTTGTAACATGTATCAGTATTTCACTCCTTTTTGTTGCTGAATCACATTCCATTGTATGGCATATTATGTGCCAGGTACCGTGCTAAGTGCTGGGGACAAAAAGACCAATAAATCTTTCTGCTGGAAGGAACCAGGAGTGTAGTGCTAAGGTTAATTCCAGTATCTCCTTCCCTGAGAGAAGAGGAGGCCAGGGAAGTGGCCAATTAACAGCACAGTTGCAGGAATACTATGAGATGGATTAGATGAGAAGTTGAAATTATAAGTCAAAATAAAAAAACCCTAGATGACTGGGAGATTAATTCCTCTCCTTAGCCTTTTTCTCTACACCTATTGATTCTACACCTATAGTTTTTCAGTTTCCATTTTCTTCTGATTTAATCTACTTCTGAATATCCACTTCTCTGAATGAAGTGCAAAACAGATGTCACTGGGGAAAACATCTAGAAAATGAAATATGCATAAATTAGTTAATCCTTTATTATAATAATTTATCTTATTTAGAGTTGGAGATCCATCTATTTTACCAGTATTTACTGGCATTACTAATTGCTTAGCACATTGCTTACACAAGGGAGGATAAAAAGATATGTTCCCTGTCCAAATTGGAAACTATATTTTTCTAATAGGATGACAGATCACTAGCAAATACATACCAAAATATATAATGACAAACTGTTCACAAGTTACATAGAGATATTTTAAAAAATATTTGGTAAATTTGATTTGGCAGTTTTCTTCTTATATTTTGGAGCTAATATTATTTTCCTCCCCAGACCTCAAGACATTCCCTAAGTGACATTATTTTGACCCTTTTGTAAAACTGGAGCCATTTAACAGTCAAGCCCAACATTCTGCACAGGGGAAAATGGGAAGTATGCTAATCCAAGGAGGTCCAGGACATCACTTTTTGGTACTCTAAGTTGCCAGGCAGGGAATATAGAAGCATGCTATTCTGAATATATAGGCCATAGTTTGACAGGGCTCGGCTAGGAGACTGGCTGCCCAAATTGTGAAGTGCTGTTATTCTAGTCGCCAAATATGTGGATTACACATGTTCAGAGATAACATTCTATTATAAAAACCAAGTAATCTGATTTTGTTTTTACCTACATAGTACATTGAAGTTTTCTCTGAAAAGTGCTTAGACACACATAAGGTAAAGTTCTCAAGGGTTAGGATCAGAGCATAGGAGTTATTATTTAATAAAGGGTAATGAAAAAAAAATGTGAGGAGAACCATTAATTCCTTCTTTATGTAAGTGAGGAAAGCTGTTAGAGAAAATTTGACCATAAAAAACCCTCAACATGGCCACTATCAAAACATCTGGCTTTGAGTAGCACTGCCACCTAATGGTTCAGTTTGGAAAAACTTGTTTTCACATGTACTTAACAAATACTTAACATGTACTTATGTCAAAGAACAAATGATCATGCGGCTTAGGGTTATTTACCCTCTTTTTGAACACAGGCAAGTATCTGCCAAACAATAATTTCAGGATTGAATAATTGGTAATAAACTTATTTGGGGCAGCAGTTTGAAAACAAGTTGCATCTTGGTTCCTGAAGTTTATGATAAAGCAGGAACTATCAGATTATCTACTCTCACTAGAGAAATATGATTGCAGAGAGTTAAACTAGTTAAATCAATATGTGTTGCAGGAGACACAATGTCTAGCCTGTCATTGGTAATAGCCACTTTTCTATTAATAGCTTCCTAGCTTAATTAGTAGAATTAACACAGCTGAAGACTCTACCAACTGAAGGGGTGGCTAGTTACAGAAAAGCCTTTTTCAGAGATACAAACTTTATACCAATGCATGTAGAACTATCCAGGAGATAAGGATGTTGAAACTTGGGTCATAATTTAGTCCTCAAGAGAGTTAGTCTTTGCTATGCATCAGGGATAGCCCATCACATCTCCCCATGACCTGGGTGAAATGGTCCTCAGGATAATTTACCTTCTTTTGCTAAGTAATCTCCTGATAAATAATTCAGCTTCTTGGGCATCCTGAATCCTTCACCTTATACTGCAGACACAGATATTTTAGTACTGGAAAGGGATATCACTTTCTAAACTAATAAATTGGTCCTTTGTTTTATATTACAGTCAAGTGTGAATTTATTCATTGTTGACCCATCACTGCTCTTCTGATCATTTTGAAATGCGGTGACTAATAAAGTCCAGTGTTAGACGGCTAATACTTTATACTATTGTACATTCACCAAGGTAAATGCCATCTTCTGAGGTTTTTTAGCATATTTCCCTGCTGCGGTCACTCTAATGCATGCTTTCTTTATACTTCAACAGGCAATATATGTTGAGTTCACAATTATGAGAGATGTTTGATTAGTAGGAAAAACATGGGCTCTGGAGTTGGATAAATTTGGTTGGATACTGCTTTCTATTATTTATTAGCAGTTTGACCAAGGGTTATAAAATTTGCTAAACCTCAGCTTCCTCAGCTATAAATAACAGTTATTAGGATATTAGGTAAATTATAAGTACTACATGTGTAAGGATTAATGGTAGCCAACATTATTTTAAGTTCTTTAAATGTATTTTAAAAGTGGGGCTAGGAAACAGCATTGTTTTATGTCATTTGCTTAGTGCTTTAACGTTTCCAAATGACTATCTTGAAACAAACTGGTCCAAAGCTGATGTCTCTAGATGAAACCAGTAAGTTACTATGGAAAGTAATTTTTAACTATTTGCTTGGTAATACAGTAGGCTACCAAGTCTCAAATAAGGCGAATTTTAGAGTCCAGATCATAAAAATCACGTAAAATAATCTCTGGCCAGTCAAAATGGGAATCCTTTTATCTACAATTCCTCTTAAGGATGCCACAGACAAATGTTCAGTGTTCAGTAAGGAGAAGAGGTGGGGCAGCAGCAAGAACAGCAGTAGTATAATAGCTTTTACTTTCCGAGTATCTGCTGTATGCCAGGTGCGAGTCTAACTGCTTTTGGTAAAGTATCTTGCTCATCCTTACAAAAGCCTCTGCCATGGGTATTATCCCCATTTTAAGAAAAGAGAGCCAAGGTTGCATGAGGTTATTATGTAGTTTAAGGACGTATATAGCTAGTAAATAGCAAAATCAGAAAGTGGTTCCAGGTCTCACTCTACATCTCATGCTTTTGACCACTGATTTCTAATTGCTAAATCCAAGAGATACTGCAATTTGGTTTGAATTTTAGAGGAAAGAAATAAAAGTGTTGGTTAAATATTTTAACTAAATACATTTCTAAGTGGCTCAATTTGCAGTGCTGCATTAACATTTCTAGGCTGCTTCTGCTTCTCTGTCATACGTATCTAATCTAGAACTAGTCAGTTCTAGGTTTTCCAGGTTGATTTTCTATCTTTCTATGAATTCTTGTTAAGGGGAACCTCTTTTTAAAAAACAGTTGAAACAGAAGGTGGGTTTCTCTCACACATATTTGTGAAGGTTGCTTACAAAATGAAGAGGCTCCTATTCTATCTTATTCCTCTCAATCCCTAATGGTGGCTTCTGAATTAGAAGCACAAGAAAAGCTATACTGAAGGTGAGTAAATTACAACTTAGCATTAAAACCTAAAGCAAACAAAAACTAATTATTAAAATAATTAATAATGGTGGTCCCTCTAATGAGATGATGTGAAATTTTTTTTATATTGGTCCCATGGGTTTTGTTATATAGGGTTTTTATTATAGATGTGGGGACAAGAGTTTTTCTCTTGAATTCAGTCAGTTATCTTAAGATTAACAGCTATAGAAAATAATATTTTAAAACTTTTCAAGGGAATATAAGAAGGTGAAAACATTACTAATCCTAGAATTCAAGTAGATATTATTACATGTACAAATTTCAAAAGACTTTAAAGGTGAAACCAGATATCTAACGAATTGCTGTATTTCTCAGCACGGGGTCTGTCTAACTGGTGAGTATGGAGACGCTGGAAAAATAAAGGGCATGCTAGAGAAACGTTAAGCAGAGTAAGGTATTTATACTCAAGATAGTTTGAGCACCTACAGTCATAGAAGTTTTCAAGCACTATAGTCTATAGAATGTCCTTAGATAGCAAATAATTTAGATGCTAAGTATGTTATTGAAAAATAAACATTTAATGGATCAAGAACCATGTTAGATATTTATATTTAATCCTTAGTTACTCTAAAAAGTAAGTATTCCCATATGACCCAGGAATCCCACTCCTGGGCATATATGCAGAAGGAACCCTACTTCAGGATGACACCTGCACCCCAATGTTCATAGCAGCATTATTCACAATAGCCAAGACATGGAAACAGCCTAAATGTCCATCAACAGAT